TTTAAAAACTTCTCTTTGCTTTCATGTATTTCAAGATCTAATGGAAGGATGTTTCACTACAAATTCATGAGAAGGGATGGCAAAATCTTTTTGCCCTTCCCTCCTGGGCATCTCAGCCTGAAGGATGTTCAGAAAGGTACTTAGCCCAAGGGGATACTAAGATGGTGGGCAAGGTGAGGCCTCTAGTACATGACTTGATGTCCAGGATGAATAGACGGAGCAGTCAGCCCTTCCCAGAGAGGGAAAATTACTGGCTCTGAGATATTCTGGAGCCAAACAATGTAATGGCAGGCTTAGAAACATAGAAGAAGAGGAGATAGAGGGGCGGCTGGGTGGCTCAGTCGTTAAGCATCTGCCTTGGGCTCACGTCATGATCCCAGGGTCTTGGGATTGAGCCCCACGTGGGGCTCCCTGCTTAGCGGGGAGTCTGCTTCTCCTTCTCCCTCTGCTGCTCCCCATTTGTGCTCTCTCACTTGCACTCTCTCTCTCAAATAAAATCTTTAAAAAAATGTTAAAAAAAAGAATAGGAGATGGGAATGAGCCTCAACAGGAAGATGGCAGACAGCAAAGGGTAGGTCACAGAGCACAGCTATGGGACAGCCTGACTTAGCCAATGCATTAATTTTTTTCCCAAACATGCTGCCCCGAAGAACGAAAAAAAAAAAAAAAGCATTTTCTTGGTTAGGTTAAAAATCATTTGTGTTCAACACATTTCCTCCTGAATTCTGATACAGTTGAAGAATATGTGTTCATAATGTTCCTTATCACTGCCACGCCTACTAAGCTAGCCAGCTCTGGTCTATTCAGAAATTTTACTTCATTTGCAAGGTGTGTGTGTATGTGCGTGTGTGGGCACGTGTGAGCATGCACTCTTCCACTTACTTTCTCTGATCTTCATTCCAGTGCCACAGGACAAGAAAGAAAACCCATTTATAAACCATTCTAGTATATGCTGCATTTCTTTCTGAAACCAGAAGCTAAAATGACATCTGTGAATTTGATTAGCTATGCTTTGCCCCATGACCTCACATAAACCAAAGCTCATTGCATTTTTCTGCATTCTCTTTACTTAAGTGACCACAGTCCTTTTTAACCAGCAGGCCCCTCTATTGACCAATGTGGAGTGGGGCACAGGTGTGAACTTTAGTTGGGGAGAACTCCCGATCTCCTGCCCACATCTAACTCTGCCCCCAAAGATGGGCACGCTGAGCTTTGCCTCAAATACGAATCGTTTCATCACTGACTTTTCCCACAGGGCTCATTTTGTAATGCTTACCTTATTGATATTTTCTCCCAATCTTCCGCATCATCCTTCAAATCTGAAATTCCAAACTGGAATGCAGAGTCCAGCACAGATTGCCACACCGCCTGGCGTAGGGTCACCTCCCTCCTAGGCTCTAGTTTCTCTGGGGGTCTTCTTTCCCCTGCAGACAGCAGCTATCGAGCTGCGGTCCGTGCACCCATTGGCGGCACTCGCCAGCCTGCCAAGCAGCTGCTGACTCATGCTTACTCTGGGATCTCCTGGGACCCCCAGTCTTCTGCCCTGCCGCCAGGACAGCCCCCACCCACCTCATGGAGCACTCTGGAGTCTCCGCCCCGACCTGATGAGCTGGCCCCCACCAAGGTACGCAGGCCCCCCCGAGCCCCGCCCCCCAGCCCACCTGGAAGACGTCGTTGGCACACTTGCGACACAGGTTGTGCTGGCAGGGCAGGATCACCACCGGTTTGGAGAACATCTCCAGGCAGATGGGGCAGATGAGCTGCTTCTCCAGGTTGTCCATGCTGTGTGCATCCCCTAGCAGCGGCTTGAAACCCACTGTGAAGTTCATCCCCTCAGCGATCGTGCCTGCCCTGGCCTTGGCCCCAGTCCTGGCCTTCCCTCACTGCCTCTGGACCCTTCCTCGTTCACTTCAGACAGTCCGTGGGTTCTTACGTTCCCTTCTACCACTCACTCTTGAAATAGCTCTGCTCTCTCTCCTGTCCCTTCCTCCGACAATTCACCTCGTCCTCAGCTGTTTTCAGACACTTCTCTTTCTCTAGTCTTTGCTCTGTACCCCAGCCAGACACATGGAGTTAGCTTTATCTGTCCCTCCGTCCCTGAGTGACTCTGTCCCTGACAATTTCTCCTTTTGTTCTCCAAATGACTCTTGTTCACTCTATGGGCAGCACTGTGTGTCCCTCCCTTCCCAGAGAGGAGATTAATTTTAACATGGGGGTGGGGAACAAGGGGCATCTGCATGACATTCCAACTCCCAATTTAGCTCATGTAAGGCGAGCCACAGCTGTCACCGAGTGAGTGACCCTGACTCACTCGGGAATGGGTGACTGCCTTACGCAAGAGCAGGGGTGAGCTTCACTGCTCATGGTGAAAGGTAGGTCTGTGAAGGTGTCAAGCTCTCAGGCTCAGAAGGCTCCTGTGAGCCCCTGACCCCCCTAAGCATGCTCTGGCTTGGGCTCTTCTTCCAGGGCGTGACGCAGAATCTAAACTGGCCTGGATGGGGGCACCAGACATGGCTCAGGGTGGCAGGAAAGATCTCACCAGACCTGGGGCCTGGTCAGTGACTCCAAGGTTTAGCCAGTGACCCTCACCCTCTTCCGTTGAATGCTGTGATTCAGAACAGGGGCACCAGAGATTAGAGGGAAAGGGTCTGGTCCAACACTTCTGGTCCATTTTTGTTCTTGCCCAGAACTTTATCTCACCCTAGGAACAGAAGCTAAGGACGCTAGAGCTGGCTGGCAGTTGCACCAGGGCCTGGAACGACCTCATGAGCATGCCTCTGAGAAAGTGTGGGGATTTGGTCCATGAACACATCACTGGAGCCACTCTAAGGACTTTAAATTTGTTAGGAAATCGAGAGAAGTTGAGCTGAGCAGAAAGGACCTGAGTGCCAGGAACCTATTTTGGGCAGCAGGGGAATTGGTCTCCGGGGAAATTTTAGAGCACTGACAAAGTCATAATCACAAGGCTCTGGGAAGCCTCTGCCTCAACTCCACAGTTGTCCTGGACTCCTCCTCTCCAAGGCAGGCTGGTCTCAGATGTGAGCACCAGCCCTCTGTCTTTTTTTCCCACGGGCCTTTTCCTCTATCCCAGGCCTGATTTGTCTTTTGGGGACCCAACAGATGCATTGGATTGGACAAAAGCTCTTTTATTTACTGACATTCCTTAGCACTTCTCCCATTCAGGAGAGAGAAGTTTGAGGAGTTACTCGGCTCTGACCTTGGGTGGATGGGAAATGGTGTGGAGAGGAGAAAACAGGCACTGTGAAGAGGCACAAATGGGGAAAGGGTCTGTAGAAGTATTATCTTTTCCCATCACATGTTTCATGCCCCTGTTAACAAAACATATGGTGATCAGCATGCATAAGATGTGGTAAAAAGGATGGAGGCAAGCAGGCACTGATAGATGAACGTCAGTCAGCCCACAGGACCCACGCTAAGGGGGGCTGTGCTGGGGTACAGTCCAGAGAGAATCCAGAGGTGGGATAACTCCCCCTCCCCCTCCAATGCATTCATGCTTTGTGTGAGTTGACTCATGGTGGCATAGAATGAGTCTGACAATGAGGCTGACAATGTCAAGTGCATGGGCACCAGAAAAAGGTGAGACCAGCCCCAGAAATGTGTGCCGGCGTAGGAATGAGGCTGACGCTAAGTTCTTGGTGCAGCGCTGCCACAAAGGAGGGTCAACTGATATAGCAGCTCTGGGATAGCATCCACCCTGCTCAGTTATCAGGATCTTGGTGGAGATAATGCAAGTGGCTCAGGGCCCCTACCACCTGAAACTGGCCCAAATCCCAAGGTACAGGAAAAAGAATGCTCGGGAAAAGTCTGTCACCACTGCCTGAGACCTCATAAGGGTACGTATGGAAGGGCTGCTGTCTAAACAGATTAAAATTGGGACTGGAGCTAAAAAGAAGAGTGGCTGGGTGACCTTGTATTGGCAGGGTCAGTGATACCATAAGAAGAGGGTCAAATCAGGGTCAATGTCAGGACAGGGCTACTTGCTCCCCTCTTCAACGTGTCCAGTGTGTTGGGCAGCAGAAGGCACCCTCGCTCGGTCAGCACCTGGGGGCAAAAGAGGTTGGCATCTTATTAAGCAGAAGGAATGATGACACAGAATTTAAAGCAAGCCCCCTGTGGGTAAGAATATAAACACCTGAAATCCAGAATATAAGATATAAACTTTCTACTAATGACTCATTGGAAGTTAGTGTATGTTCTTTTCTTATCCTTTGATTATTGCTGCATTTTAGCTTCCATATATACTCACTCCTCTTCATCTTTTAGAAATCATCTTCCCTATCATCTTGTCCTCTTCTAAAATTTCTTTTGTTTCCTATGATGGAATTTGAAAAACACATATACAAATATTTAGTAACAATTTTTCGTCCAGGGGTGAGAAAACCGTTACCTTGCAGTTACATGTCAGTATCACTAGGTGGCACTAGAGTGAACTTCAGTCAAGCCACACTCTCCGTGCTTAGGGTGGGGATGATCTCATCAGACACTTAATCTTCCTTTCGAGTAAAGGCGGTGAACTTCATCTTCAAGTACTGCCTTTTCAAGGCATCCTCCCACCCACTCTTTACCTTAACTCCCACCCCATTCCTTAGCTTAACAGTCATGAGAGGCCAATATTACATTCATTTTTTTTTGAAGATTGTATTTATTTATTCGACAGAGAGAGACACAGCGAGAGAGGGAACACAAGCAGGGGGAGTGGGAGAGGGAGAAGCAGGCTTCCCGCGGAGCAGGGAGCCCAACGCCGGGCTCGATCTCAGGACCCTGGGACCATGACCTGAGCCGAAGGCAGACGCCCAACGACTGAGCCACCCAGGTGCCCAGCCTACTAGATCCACTGTCAGTTGGTGGCATAAGCCGCTCAGAAACCAAGTGTATCCTCTTCTCTTTCTTCACTTGGCCTCAGTACGGGCTTGAGACTCCCGCCCATATTAAGGGCTCAGAGTTTCACCTCCAAGTATCTCTCATTCCCAATCCAGCTCTCACCTCAGGCCCTGTCTACGGCTCTCACCTGCCCTGGGAGGCTGATTCTGTACATCCTGCTGGTATCTTCTGGCAACCTCCTCAGGTGGTGGCTTAAGCGCTCCGCAGCAGAAGCAGCAGCAGCAACAGCAGCAGCAGCAGGTGAGCAGAGCGCACAGGAGGACCAGCGTCTGAAAGGCAGGGAAGAGTGGCCTCGGCCCAGCATTTCCTCCATATCCCACCCCACAAAATGGGACAACAGAAGCAGCTGCACTGGGAGAGAAGGGTCAGCTGTCCAAGAAGAGGAGGGTCATCCCTCCTTCCGTATTCTTTTATTTTTTAAGATTGATTGATTGATTGATTGATTGATTTGCGAGCCAGCACAGAGGGAGAGGGAGCAGGGAGCCTGACGTGGGCCTCGATTCCAGGACCCTGGGATCATGACCTGAGCCGAAGGCGGACATTTGACCAACTGACACACCAGGCGCCTCCCGCCCCTTCCTTATTCTTAAGGGACTAGGAAGAATTGTATACCTTGAACCAGCAACTATTCATCGTAAAATAGTACGTGACGCCTTCTTCGCCAAAGTGATCATATATATATATTCCCAATGAACCATGCCGGTCGTAGATTTTCCGCTTCTTAGGGTCACTCAGTATGGAGTGGGCTGTGTTGATCTCTTTGAATATTTCTGCTGCTTGAGCGTCCCCTGGATTCTTGTCTGGATGATACTTTAAGGCCAGTTTCCTGCCCAGGCAATACCCAAAAGGACGGTGGGGAGAGGATGGTTGGGAAATGGCCGGGGAAGGAGGGTAGGATGAATGACAGGGATAGGTCTCTAGATGTGAAGAAGGCATGCATGAGTGCAAAGAATGGAGGCAAGCAGCCCAAGTCTAAATTCCTTGCCATGCCACAGTGAAAAGGATGATGACCCCATCCAACCCAAAGTGAAGGCTTGAGGATTTAAAAATGGGTCAGAAAGCAAGGTAGAAAGAGAAGGGTTTAAGGCGGGGCGAATTCCAGGGTTTAGTAGGAGGCTGGGTCTGAACCTGTAAGCCTTTTTGATGTCTTCCGGTGAGGCACCTTTCTTAAGCTCCAGCACAGCATAGAGGGTTGTCCCACTTCTGGACAGCTGGTGGGCTGCTTCGTCCAAATGAGCCATGATCTGGGTCAGAGGAGAAGAAGCATTTGTGAGAACCTCCACAGGGTAGGCCATGGAGAAGTGAACTTACACTGAGGAAACTCATTGCCTTCAGGGGCTAGGCAGGTAAAACGAGTACAAAGGGACAAGTATAAGACAACAGTGAGTGGGCTCTGTGACTAGCAGGAGCGTGCAGGTGACCAGAAATGACATCCAAATTTTAAAGAGGAAATATCTCCTCACATTTCCCAGCGTCCTTCAGCTACGCAGCCCTCCAGACACCCCACATCGTGGAGAGGTGCGAGCAAGAGGAGGTCTAAACCATGGGAGGAGAGTGATTTTATCTGGAACTACTAGTACCTTAGGCAAACAGCCCCGGGCCTGTCCAAGCTCACTGCTGGGTTGGAAAGACCAAGGCAGACCAGTCCTTGATCAGGTTGGGTCAGGAACCGGGGAGATGCACAATTCCCACGGGAGACACAATTCAGACCAAACCCTGAGCCACCTAAGAGAAGTCAGGTGTCCCAAAGCCAGGCCGTAGGGCAGTGCCGCAGCTAGGCCAGAGGCGTTCTTCTTCTCCTTAGCCTCCCCTCCCAAACCTCAGAGATGGGCAGCGGGGAGAGCATCAAGGGATGAAAACCGAAGCGAAAGGCATAGCTTTGGGGGGCGACCGGCCAGGGACCAGTGAGCAGGACCCCAGACAGTGGGAGAGACCCTGGGAGGCTGTGGCCCGTAAGAGCCAAGACAACATGCTCAGGAGGGAATGCTCTGGTTCCCGGATGCCCTCTGACTCCGTGTGGACTCCGCGCCCGGCCTGGTGCTCTACCTTTACCTCAGAGCCGCTCTCCTCGCCTGGGCCGGCCTCACACAACCTCCATCTGGGTGTGAAATTTCACACCGCGGGGGGCCAGCGGCCAACTGCGCTTGCGTGCTGCGCCAACACTCCGGGTCGCTTTTTGGCGCCGCCGGAAAATCTGGGAGGTGCGGCTACGTGGGCCCTGGGATTTATTTCGCTCCAGGGCGTAGGGATCAGCCCTGCGCCAGCGGCCGTGCTGCGTTGCCAGCTCTTCCGGTGGGCGTGGCCTGGGACGGGGTCATCCCTTCTCCCGTGGGAGAGGATCGCCAGTCTTGGTGACCCGCAGTGCTCGTCCACTCACCTAAGGAAACGTGTTGGGCTTGCACGCCGGGGTTGTATGAGAGGTACGGCTCCTGCAAGCCTTTCTCAAGAGGTGTATTACCTTCCCAGTCTTCTTTTGCAGAGTTTAGGGGTCTCCACTTTGTCCTTTTTTTCCCCTTCCACCTGGAAACTCCTACACATCCTTAAAGACCCACCTCGAATGTCCTGGGAACCCTTCCTTCTTTCCCCCAGTTGTTCCCATCTTGCTCTGTCAAAGCATTTATTCTATTATATTGTAATTATTAGTTTGCACGTTCCCTTAAATGATAAACGATACCTTGAATTTTCCAAAAGTCACTACTGTTCTTCAAAAACTTCATTTAAATACTAGAATATCATAAGCATGTACCATAATGTATTTATATAATCCAGATCGGATACTTGTTTCTAGCCATTTGATAGTGTAATAACCTTATAACGAAAAATCTTACCTATAAATCTTCAAATAAATCTCTTCCCTGCCCCCTTGAGGTGGATTCCTGGAAGTGTATTATTGGGTCAAGGCGAATTTTTTAGAGGCTCTTGATCCATGTTGCTAACTTTCTTCCCAGAAAGATAACAAAAATGCCAATTTACAGCCCTACCTGCAGGGCTTGAGAGCACCTATCTCCACCTGGGCTGGCTTCCTGTGATTCCAACAGAAGGCAGTGTTTGCACCACTTATAATTTACCACTTTGTAATGTTGGTTTTCTTTATAGAGGAGCACTCAATAGCTCCCATAGCATGTACTTGAAAGAGCTTTAATAGTTCAATAATATTTCTCTGTTACACCTCGTGTGGCTTTTATCACTCTCTTCCCTTTATGACAGTTATTTGTGCACATTTACATTGCCTTCTGGGTGTTAAGTGGTAAATCAATCCTCCATCCCAAGAAATGTGAGCCATCTGAGTAAACTAAGGAGTCCATGTGCAATAGGCACAATGACCAGTGAATTAGCTAACTTATTTCTGTAGATCTGTGGTCACCATAGGGGTGGGGATGAAAAGCTTTGGCATCAACCTCCCAGTTCATAGATTCTGGGTCGGAGGAGTTTATAGGTTAGTCACCTAAAAACAAAGGAGCTGAAGCTGACATTTTTTTCTGTGGTGGTTTGTACTATGATAAATTTCCCAGCTAACTTCCAACTTTCATCACCATCATGGGATGCAGAACTAGCAGAGCAACCCAGGTTGTTTCTTTACTAGCACTGGAAAGACAGAAGAAGGCACTAGAAGTGCAGAACACTTACAATGAATTTCTTACCTCAGTCTACAGGCCCAGCCTGGTCTGGCCCCTGCCTCTCGCTCTAGTCCTGTCAAGCACCACTGTTTTGCTTGCTCGGGTCTCTGCTGCACTGGTTTTCTGTCAGTTCTTTGAAGACACCTGTTCCCTCCCATGTCAAGGGCCTTAGGCCATGCTGCTCCCTCTGCCTGGAGGACTCCTCCTCAGGCTGTCTGCTAGCTGACTTCTCATCCTTCTAGGATCTCAGCTTCATGTCTCCTCAGATAGGCCTTCTAAATTGAGTTCTACTTCTCTCTCTCCAACTCATAACACCCTCACCACGATTTGTGAATAGATGTTTATTTGTGTGTTGATTTGTTTAAGGCTGCCTTCCCCAGTACAAGGTGAACTCTCTGAGGGCAGGGACCTTGTAGCTTTGTTCACCATCTTTCACCTAGTACCTAGAACCGTGTCTGGTTCACAGCAAGTGAATTAATGATTTATTGAATGAGCTACAGCAGAGGGAGCCCTCTGCTGGTCCAATGTAGGCCTAGAGGTTGGGCCCTAGCAAGAATTCCCTAGAGGAACACTTAGCTGGGGAGTTGGAAGATTTGCCCTCCTATGGCCCCGAACAAGAAGAGACATAAGGGGTTAAGAAAAGGCGGTAGGGGAGATAGTAATGGTGATTTGGAGCTCCTTGGTTCTTGTTTGTCTTCGTCTTCCTCCAGTTCCTAACACAGTTCCTGGGATATTGTAGGTGCTCAATGAATGTCGGCTGGATGAATGAATAAGTAAACGTCGTGTGTCTTCCCAGAGGCACTGTAACCTACTAATCTCCTTTGATTCTCCCAGCAGCCATGAGCGATGGTGTGATCACACCCCTGCTTCATAGAAGTGAGCCCAGAGAAGGAGGGCAAATTAGGTTCTTCTCTGAGAAGAGTTAGTAAACATCTTTCACATCTTGCCAGAGGCTCCAGAATGTTATTACTTCTTATCATTGCCCTCTGACATTCTAATTAATTCTAATCATAGTTCCTGGCTCTTGAAATAACCATTATCTTTAAGTCTTCCAAGGCTCTAGTCTAAATGAACGGACACTGCAGCCGGGAAGCTACAGACATGGAAAGAAGGCAGGCAAGTCGGCCTGGCATCCTTTGGCTAGAGGCTCTCCACTTTGCCTTCACCTAGAAACAGACCCTATCTGGCCCTGTTTCTATGCACACAGTCTCTTCTGACACTCAGCACAGTACTAGGAAGAACACACAAGCCCAAAATCAGAAGCCCTAGGCCTTGGTTTTGACCCTGGCTCTAATGAGCCATGTGATCCTGAACAAGTCACTTAATCTCTGAGGCTCTTTTCCCTCTTCTGTAAAAACCTGTGCCATTCCACAGGGTTGATGTCAAAACTAAATTAGATTTGGTTGTAAGAAAAAAATGGAAAAAAATAACTATGCTAAAGAATGATTTCAGGCCAAAACCTTCTCTAGAACCATTTTCCCTCAAGTCACTGATCTTATAGTTTACTATCTCACAGTTTGGTCTCTCCTGGAGAAAATCAAGAAGCATCCCTTATTTACCCACAAACAGCTAAAGTTTTAGTCATATAGCCAGAATACACATATACAGACAGCAGACATTGGCATATTTATACCCAAAATATCATGCTCTTGAGCATATGCAGTGGGAGAGAGAGATCACAATTTGTCATACCCAACCACTAGGTTCTAGAATTGCATAGTTTTCGCGTTGGAAAGGAACTCAGAGGCTTAACTCTCATCTAATGCCTTCGTTGTGTAATTGAGGAAAGTGTGGCCCAGAGAGAAGGAATGACCTGCTCAAAGTCAACCAGTGAGATCCAGACCTAAGTCTTCTAAGTTAAGATTCTATGCTGTGTCTGCTTCTTATACACACCAGCTCCCTTCTCACTCTAAAATTGAGGTCTAGGGGTGCCTGGGTGGCTCAGTCGGTTGGGCATCTGACTCTTGGTTTTGGCAGGTCATGATCTCAGGGTCGTGGGATCTAGCCCCACATTGAGCTCTGTGTTAAGCGGGGAGTCTGCTTGAAGATCCTCTCCCTCTGCTCCTCCCCGACTCATTCAAATCAATCAATCAATCAATCTTTAAAAAAAATAAAGTTGACGGCTAGAGACAGACCAAAGCTGTAATTGATATTTGATATCCACCTCCTTTCATGATGTCAGGTAATGTCCCTCTTTCCCTCCCTCCAGCTGAAGGCGTGCTCACTACCTGTGACAAAACATCACTGGCCCGGTTTGTTTGCCTGTCCTCTCCTGGGCAGACATCTCAGGTGGGAGGGGGAGGGCTTCCAGCCAGAGAGGCTGCTGCATTCCCCTGTCATCTCTGACCTGCAACCCCAGACTGCAGAGCTAAGGGCAGGCTGACAGGGCACAGCTGTCTCACCTGTAAAATGGAAATAATAGAGTGTACCTCTTAGGGTTGTTAAGAGGACGAAATACTTAATTTGAATAGTGCTTGGCACATGGTAAGTGCTATGTTATTGTCATTGTCATCATCATCATCATCATCATCATCATCCTTTCCATCTGGTCACCTCTCAATTTTGTAAAGAGAGAAGTTGCTTTTCCTTTTGTCTCTGGGAAGAAGGAAAACTCAGGATCCTTC